GTTGATTGTAATCAATTACTAGTTATCAATAGTTAATAAATCAACGTTATACTACCTTGTTTACAAGCTAAAATTTTCGAGTGTTTTTATCGTGAAAACAACTGATAAAAATGTTAGATTTTGTCAAACTATCATTTCCAAAGATAATTTATTAACCATTTAAACCAGCGGATCGAAATACTTGTTTGTAACAATTAAGTTTACATGGAAAATAAATGGACCTTCATTAGGAAAGCCTTTGGTAGCTGTTTCGAGATTTTCGTTCTAATTGTAATCATCTATTCCTTTGAATGTGAATTTTGACAATTTATTGTGACACTTTCTAAGCAAAGTTGATTCCTTGGATCATCTTAACCTTTGATCTTCATGGCAAAAGTAAGTATTAGTTGTTGCTCTTTCTATTATTATCCTTTAACTGACCTTTCGTTTAATTCAACAATTTGAATCTCTTTATCCCCTCCAGGTAACAAGTAATCAATCAATCGTCAAGTTGGACTGTGGTCACGACCAAAGTGGCGTTTTTTATGTTCACAAATGTTTGAGGACATTTTGTGGAAAGTGTAAACGAGAAAATCGCTCATGTGTCTTGTGTAAATCTGAACTCTTAGAAACTGATTATCTCAAAGCAATTGACAGGAAGAAATGTGAAGATGATTCCGTTTGTAACAATCAAGCCATTTTCCAGTGTTTGTGCGGTAAAAAGTATTTTTGTGAGGATCATTTATTCAAATTTCATCGACCAATTTTACCATCAAAAAGATGTTGTGCTGTGATTCTCAGTTCGGACTTAGATGACCAACCATGTTCCATATGTAACAACCGTATCGCTGAATTTGTGGACAATACAACTAATGAGCTTTTCTGTGCTTCATGTAATCAGAATAATAACTCAGTTAATATTGTGCCCATTGAACTAGACAATAACAACAACGATACCGACAACACAAGCATAGCCAAAAGTGTTGAAATTTATCGAGTTGATGTACAAAAAAGGTTGGATCTATTGAACAACAAGCTAAAAGATTATACGATTGAGATAGAAAACGAAAGATCCGAATTCAATAAAGGAATTGGCCACATGAGAAGTAAATTAGAAAGCTACTTGAGTGCCAACAAAGCCAAAACAGACTCTTTGCGAGCGCAAGTATACAAGGTTAAACAATTTTTGAATCAATTGCATCGTAATGATAAATTTGGAATAATCACTCTCATCAAGTCGAATAAGCTTAACAATAAACTCGCGGACTCGAAATTAAAGTTATGGGTCGAAGAGATAGTTGGATCGTATGTTATTCCTGAATTAACCAAATCGGGTGTAGATTGGACTAAAGAATCTGAAAGAGCTTTTCATGAGTTGATTCCTGGTCCACGGAACTGGAAGCTTAATCATGGTCCTTTTTTTCCTGACAATTTTCTCAAATTAACTTACGACTTAATCAAAGAACAACTTTTGCACCAGAATATCTGTAGAGCTTCGTCTTGTTATTGTGAACAAAACAGTCTCATGAAAAAAGTTCAAGACCTTAGGACTGAATATAAGCTTTCACAAAATAATCTGGATTATTTTCTCGATTGCTCATCAATCGCTGGTGGTGATGTAACTCTAATGATTGAAACTGGTAAACGAGCTCTTAATCAGTCTGATTTTCATATCGCACGAGTTTGTTTTGAAGAAGCTCATCGAATCAGTCCGACCAATTGGATTGTTCTCGACACTTTAATGGGTCTCTATTTCGTGCTTAATCATTACCGTAATTGTCTTAAGCTCGCAATCAAAGGATTAATGAAAGATGGCAACTACTTTAAAGCTCGCGTTTTAATATCAGAGATTTTGAAATCTTCACCAACCTTAAAACCAGAATTACCTGTTGGTCTGGATTATCTACTGATTGTAGTTCTGAGTGTTATGACAAGAAAAACAAAAACTTTAGACGAACTCAAGAAGATGAAAAAACTTCGTGATGAACAAAAGAAAACTGGAACGCAACAAGAAAATGCTCGAAAGTCTTTGCAATTAGACCTCAATACCGAAACACTTTCGTCGCTACAATCATTAATTTCAGCTTTAATCATTGTAAGTAGTGAAATGGAGAAACAAAACTCAATCGTAGTAAATCAATAACATTGAAAATCACTGGCAAGCCTCGTTCCAATGCTAATACGATTTCTTCCAAAGGAAATCTTATTCAAAATAATAAACGAAACAGCCAAGGATCGAGTCCTGGTCCATCAGCGAAAAGAAGATCAGTTGAAGATTTACAGCCGAAAGATCCAATAGTCAACAATATGTACGAAAAGATATTCACAATGTTACCAGAAAGTATTTTAACACGAAATAGTCCAAGAAGAGGAGTTACAGGTACAAACAAAGAACGAAGCTCAAGTGGAACGTTTAATTTTGGCCCGTTATCGCTTGAAACAAATACCATTCATCTCAAAAGGCAGACAAGTTCATCTGCTTATTGCTGATCTTTTTATGTTAATAGCAAACGAAGCCACTGCAATCAAATTACCTTCTAATTTCAGAGATCTGTACAGAATTTATCGCAAATGGTATCCGTTACAGACAACTTTAATGTGCTCAATCAAGAATATAAGTGTTGACAAAACAAATTTGATTTTAATTGCTAATGAAGTTCAGTTCGATAAATCCGAAGCGATAATTTTAACTGAATCAATTCCATATCTAAGAAATTTGATGATTACTCCAGATTATGATAAATTTTTCATTCGTCTTTTGATTCTTCGAGGAATCAAAGAATCTAAAGTTGATTATCTTCTAATGGCAAATGAATTGTTTACCAAAACTAACCTCAAATTAGTGCGAGCGGCAAATCAAACTGTGTATACCTCTTCTAGTCTTAGATCAATGATAAATAAGATGAATGAAAATAATTTGGACACATTATTGGATCAACATCGACACGAGGAAATTGTTGAACTATTCGCATCTAAATCTGAGCTCTCTAAACAAGAAGAAGAGTATCTTTGTCAAGCTATTCAATCATCACAACAATGGGAACGAGGGATCGAAATAATTGCTCGAAGTAAACAATTGACCGACACATTGCTAAATCTATTACGATCTTGTCTAAAGAATGGTCATGGAACATCTATTGATCGAGAATTGGCCATCAAATTGTTAAAATTAGGAACTGAAGATTACAACGTAATGGCCTGGACTTGTATTCTACAAACTTTCATAAACGAGATGCGATGTGGACACATTGACGAAGGGCAAATCACTTATTTAATTAACTCAATTCATGAATATCTTGGGAATAAAGGAGTTTGTTGTCATTCCAATGGAGAGTTTTTATCTCTTTCACTCGATTATTCGATCAATCAATCAACTATCCTGAGAGAGAAATTAATTCTTAGCTGTCTTGGTTGTTTTTACAAACAATTAGAATGTAACTTTCTATCAGCTCATCCTGAATCGGGAGTTTCTTTACATTGGAAGGACATGAATACTATTTACAATCATTTTATTCCTAAAACTTTTCCAACTTTTGATAGTGAAAAATGTGATTCTATCAATGCAAATACTGCAGAGCTGTTACTCAAATTGCTTTCCAAGGTCCCTGATAATTTAAATCCTGAAAGATTTTCCAATTCTGTCAAAGAATATGTCGATCATGGAAAATCCATTGAGCCGTCATCAAGTATTCCAAAAGATCATGTTACTCAAGATCTTTACTATTATTTAGCTGATTATTACTTAAAAAACAAAGAGGTTCTGTAAGTTAATTCATTTAATAGCTAGCAAATTTAAATGATTTCTAATAATATTCATCTAATTCATAGAAAAGCCGTACAATTTTACATGCTTGATTTAACTTTAAATCTCAATCGATTTGATTCATGGGCTGGATGTGCACTCGCAATAACAAGTCAAATTGATCAATCTTCTTCAACTGTAAGTATTAAAACTTATTTTGTTAAAGCTCTAATCTCATATTTGTATTCACGAACAGAATGGTCGAGTTTTCTACTCATCTACTCATGAGGTGTTGCTTTTTGGGCAAAAAGCATTTCGTTGTTACAATAAAGCGACTCCATTGAAAGATAATAATTCCAAGGTATGGTTCGAATATGGAAAGTGCGCTTATAACATTGCGAGTTATATTTCTCGAGTCATGAAATTTGGACCAGTACTGGAGAATTCACAAAAGGAAGAGATGAATAAACAGCGAAAGAAATTCTTAGAACAAGCTCGCGTTTGCTTCGAATCAGCTAACAAATTTGCCAATGCTGACGAAATTATGATGAATTATTATTTCTTAGGAAAAATCGCTGAGAGAAGTGACATCTCAGAGGCACTTCGATATTACGGATTATCTTTGTCTCATTTTGTCTCAAATGGAGCAACTTCTGGAATTAATAATGTCAATTCTATTCATTATCGTTTTGGCATCGAAATTCACTATCGCATTCATGCTTATGCCCTCAAGCATATTCATAGAGATAAAACTCTATCACCGGAAATACTGGAGGTTCTAACTCGTGCAGAAAAAAGTATTACTCTCTTTGACTCTGTGTCAAGAAATAATAAAACCATTGATGATACCGGAAAGGAAATTTCTGATTTGGCTACTGTGAAAAGTGAAGACCAACGATTACATCGAAAAATCATAAATCTGTGTCGTGAAGCGATGCTTAGAATATTAAGATGTTCTCCAGGTCATTACAAAGCTCTTTCTCGAATGGCTTATCTTTATTCTCTTCTGAAGATTTTGCAAACGCTCGAAAGATACTCACCGAGCCATTTGAACCGTCAACTCATCCACAAAGTTCTACTACTTTCGAAATTGGGGATAATTCAACTGAAACAGTAAAATCTTCACCCATCCAAGATCTTTTCGACACGACTAAATGTAACTATTATATGTTCCATGGAATCCTGAAGACATTGAACTACTCAATCGAGAGACCAGGAAGTTTCTGTACTCACATCCGTCGATCGACAGATTTACTGATTGATGAATAAAACTTTAGGTGATGCTGAACAATTATTGAGAATCGCAATATTTTGAATTCATTAGAATTGAGAAGCAAAGGATATCTTCGTGAAACCGATCGTGAAAATCTTGGGAAAAAGCATTGGAACTTTGTTTTAGTATTTACGAGAGTCGAATTGTAGAGGCAAAGGAAATCATCAGGACTTAAAGTCAATTGAAGCCAATTTAAGGAAATATGTAATAAATTGATGGAATATCCTTTTTACGAACATTCTGCTAAACAATTTCTCGAAAAACATGACAATCGCGCTGAATGTATAACAATTGATTAATCACTAACTTTAATGACGAATATCTTTCCTTACAAAGTTTTTTAAATTCGCAAAAATCTTTACTGATTATGAACGAAACTAATATTTTTTGACTAATTACTTTTGTGAATACAAAAAAGTATTTTATGTAATTTTACAGAGAAATCGAATAATTTGAATAAATCTGGATCAGTTTTTTTATCATTTCAAAGGATTAATGAAAGACAACGATTACTGCAAAGATTGTGTATTAATATCAGAGATGTTGGAACGTTTTCCATCCATACGAATAGAATTACCTGTCGAGTATCTGCACTATTGGAATTCTTCAGTTGATATTAAAAGGAAGAAAAAACTTATGGGTGACCTCGAGAATTTGAAGAAGCTCAATAATATATTACAATAATGGAAAAAATATTGGAAAAATCACAAGAAAATGTTTCAAAATCTCTAAGTTTAGATCATAATGCTGTCAGATTAACAATTAAAGACTATCATCTATTGATGTTCATCTGATAGCATGTTGATCGGAACGTTGATTGTTAACAGGTAATAACAATTTAGAAAAATTATCTCCATAAGTTAGATGATTTAATTGTACATTGAATTTCAAGGAAAAGACTGACCGATGAAAATATCTCCATTGTTTCAATACGAACAACAATTTTTTTTATTTAAATTTAATCGAATTGATGTAAAACATTCAAAATTAATTCATTTTCTATTTCAAAGATTCCGATAAGTTTAAAGTTTTTTAATCGAGATCGTTTTTAATTACGAACCTTTTGAATTTCCCCTCATACGAAAAATGAACAATTTTAGTAAGTTGATTGTAATTACTATCAGACAACATTATCAAGTGACCAGGACGTTTTATTACCCACATGCATTTCCATTCAGTTATTGATCAAAGTTAACAAGAATTATTAATGATGCTGATCAATTGCTCAAAATCTCAACGCTTTTGACTTCGTCAGAATTGAGTAGCAAAGGATTTCTGCGTGTTGCATATCAACAAAATCTAAAACAAACAAGAAATGAAACATTGTAACACATGAGAATCGTATTTTAGTATCGATAACAATTCGTAACGGCCAATTAAAGCTGATGTACGAAGAATGTTTAACAAGTTAATGGAACATCCTGTCTGAAGAATATGCTAAACGATTTCTCGAAAAACATGGCAATTGTGTCGAATGTGTAACAATTAACTAATCACTGTTTTCACGATATGAATCTCTCATAATCAAGTTTCTTTTTCAGTTCTCATGATTTTCACCGACACTAAAATTGTTTCAATTTAAATGCTTTGTTTGTGATTGCAAAAAGATTGTTGTTTATTCTTTTGAATTTCCCGCTCTTTTGAAAAATGAACAGGTTTAGTTGATTGTAATTACTAGTTATCAATAGTTAATAAATTAACATTATATTAACTTGTTTATAAATTTCGAGTGTTTTTTTTTATCATGAAAAGAACTGACAGAATGTTTAATTTTTTGTCAAACTGAAATTTCCAAAAGATATTTACTTATATTAACCATTTAAACCAGTGAATCGAAAGACTTGTTTGTAACAATTAAGTGAAAATGGAAAATAGTTGGGCCTTCAATTAAAAGGCCTTTGGTAGCTGTTCGTTGTTTGAACTGTAATCATCTCGTCTTTGAATGTGAATGTTGATTATTTATTGATACGTTTTCCATAAATACAGTTGATTTCTTTATTCATCTTTACCTTTGATCCTCATGGCAGAAGTAAGTATTAGTTGTTGTTCTTTCTATTATTATCCTTTAACTGACCTTTCGTTCAATTCAACAGTTTAAATCTCTTTATCCCCTCCAGGTAACAAGTAACCAATCAATCGTCAAGTTGGACTGTGGTCACGATAAAAGTGACGTTTTTTATGTTCACAAGTGTTTGAAGACATTTTGTAGAAAGTGTAAACTAGAAAATCGCTCATGTGTCTTGTGTAAATCTGAACTCTTAGAAACTGATTATCTCAAAGCAATTGACAGGAAGAAATGTGAAGATGATTCCGTTTGCAACAATCAAGCCATTTTCCAGTGTTTGTGCGGTAAAAAGTATTTTTGTGAGGATCATTTATTCAAATTTCATCGACCAATTTTACCATCAAAAAGATGTTGTGCTGTGATTCTCAGTTCGGACTTAGATGACCAACCATGTTCCATATGTAACAACCGTATCGCTGAATTTGTGGACAATACAACTAATGAGCTTTTCTGTGCTTCATGTAATCAGAATAATAACTCAGTTAATATTGTGCCCATTGAACTAGACAATAACAACAACGATACCGACAACACAAGCATAGCCAAAAACGTCGAAATTTATTGTGCTGATGTTCGTAAGCGACTGGATCTATTGAACAACAAGATAAAAGATTATACGATCGAGATAGAAAACGAAAAGGCCGAATTCAATAAAGGAATTGGCCACATGAGAAGTAAATTAGAAAGTTACTTGAGTGTCAACAAGGCCAAAATAGACTCTTTGCGAACGGAAGTAAACAAAGTAAAACAATTTTCGAATCAATTGAATCGCAGTGATAAATTTGGAATAATCGATCTCATCAAGTCGAATAAGCTTAACAATAAACTCGCGGACTCGAAATTAAAGTTATGGGTCGAAGAGATAGTTCAATCGTATGTTATTCCTGAATTAACCAAATCGGGTGTAGATTGGACTAAAGAATCTGGAAAAGCTTTTCGCGAGTTGGTTCCTGGTCCGCGGAACTGGAAGCTTAATCATGGTCCTTTTTTTCCTGACAATTTTCTCAAATTAACTTACGACTTAATCAAAGAACAAATTTTCCACCGAACTATCTGTAGAGCTTCATCTTGTTACTGTGAACAAAACAGTCTCACGAAAAAATTTTACGACCTTAAGACTGAATGTAAACTTTCACAAAATAATCTGGATTATTTTCTCGATTGCTCATCAATCGCTGGTGGTTGTATAACTCTATTGATTGAAACTGGTAAACGAGCTCTTAATCAGTCTGATTTTATCGTCGCTGAAGTTTGTTTTGAAGAAGCTCATCGAATCAGTCCGAACAATTGGATTGCTCTTGACACTTTAATGGGTCTTTATTTCGTTCTAAATGACTTCAGTAACTGTCTAAAACTTGCGATCAAAGGTTTGACTGCAGATTGTAATTACTTCAAAGCTCGTGTTTTAATATCAGAGATTTTGAAATTTTCACCAACTTTAAAATCAGAAATACCTGTTGATCTTGATTATCTAATCGATTGTAGTTCTGCAGATGATTTGACAAGAAAAACAAAAATTTTAGACAAACTCAACAAGACGAAACAACTTCGTGATGGACAAAAGAAGACTGAAACTCAGCAAGAAAATGTTCGAAAATCTCTGCTATTAGACCTCAATATCGAAACGATTTCGCTACAATCCTTGATTTCAGCTTTAATAGTTGTTAATAGTGAAATCGAAAAACAAAAACTCAACCTTAGTACATTTATACCATTGAAGATCACTGGCAATCCTCTTTCTAATCCTCTGTCCAATGCTAATACGATTTCTTCTAAAGGAAACCTTAATCAAAATAATAAACGAAAGAGCCAAGGTCATGATCCTTCAGCGAAACGAAAATCGGGCGAAGATTTACAGCCGAAAGATCCAATAGCCATCAGCATGTACGAAAAGATATTCACAATGTTACCAGAAAGTATTTTAACACGTGAAATAGTCCAAGAAGAGGAGTTACAGGTACAAACAAAGAACGAAGCTCAAGTGGAACATTTAATTTTAACCGTTACCTCTCGAAACAAATACCATTCATCTCAAAAGGCAGACAAGTTCATCTGCTTATTGCTGATCTTTTATGTTAATAGCAAACGAAGCCACTGCAATCAAATTACCTTCTAATTTCAGAGATCTGTACAGAATTTATCGAAAATGGTATCCATTACCGACACCCTTAACGTGTTCAATCATGAATATAGATGTTGGCAGAACAAACTTGATTTTAATTGCTAATGAAGTTGAATTCAATCAATCCGAAGCAATATTTTTGACTGAATCGATTCCCTATCTACGAGATTTGATGATTACTCCAGATTATGATAAATTTTTCATTCGTCTTTTGATTCTTCGAGGATCAAAGAATCTAAAGTTGATTATCTTCTAATGGCAAATGAATTGTTTACAAAACTAACCTCAAATTAGTGCGAGCAGCAAATCAAACTGTGTATACCTCTTCTAGTCTTAGATCAATGATTAACAAGATGAATGAAAATAATTTGGACATTATTGGATCAGCATCGACACGAGGAAATTGTTGAACTATTCGCATCTAAATCTGAGTTCTCTAAACAAGAAGAAGGTATCTTTGTCAAGCTATTCAATCATCACAACAATGGGAACGAGGATCGAAATAATTGCTCAAGTAAACAATTAACCGACACATTGCTAAATCTATTACGATCTTGTCTAAAGAATGGTCATGGAACATCTATTGATCGAAATTGGCCATCAAATTGTTAAAATTAGGAACTGAAGATTACAACGTAATGGCCTGGACTTGTATTCTACAAACTTTCATAAACGAGATGCGATGTGGACACATTGACGAAGGGCAAATCACTTACTTGATTAACTCAATTCATGAATATCTAGGAGTGAAGGAGTTTGTTGTCATTCAATGGAGAGTTTTATCTCTTTCACTCAATTATAATCAATCAATCAAATATCATGAGAGAGAAATTGATTCTTAGCTGCCTTGGTTGTTTTACAAACAATTAGAATGTAACTTTCTATCAGCTCATCCTGAATCAGGAGTTTCTTTACATTGGAAGGACATGAATACTATTTACAATCATTTTATTCCTAAAACTTTGCCAACTTTTAATAGTGAAAATGTGATTCTATCAATGCAAATACTGCAGAGCTGTTACTCAAATTGCTTCCAAGGTCCCTGAAAATTTAAATCCTGAAAGATTTTCCAATTCTGTCAAAGAATATGTCGATCATGGAAAATCCATTGAGCCGTCATCAAGTATTCCAAAAGATCATGTTACTCAAGATCTTTACTATTATTTAGCTGATTATTACTTAAAAACAAAGAGGTTCTGTAAGTCAATTCATTTAATAGCTAGCAAATTTAAATGATTTCTAATAATATTCATCTAATTCATAGAAAAGCCGTCCAATTTTACTTTCTCGATCTATCTTTAAATCTCAATCGATTTGATTCATGGGCTGGATGTGCTCTAGCAATAACAAGTCAAATTGATCAATCTTCTTCAACTGTAAGTGTTAAAACCACCTATTTTGTTAAAGCTCTAATCTCATATTTACATTCACGAATAGAATGGTCGAGTTTTTCCTCATCTGCTTATAATCCGTTGAATTTTGGAATAAAGCATTTCGTTGTTTCAATAAAGCGACTCCATTGAAAGATAATGAATCAAGATATGGCTCGAATATGGAAAGTGCTTATAACATTGCGAGTTACATTTCTCGAGTCATGAAATTTGGACCAGTTTTGGAGAATTCACAAAAGGAAGAGATGAATAAACAGCGAAAGAAATTCTTAGAACAAGCTCGCGTTTGCTTTGAATCAGCAAACAAATTTGCCAATGCTGTCGAAATTATGATGAATTATTATTTCTTAGGAAAATCGCTGAGAGAAGTAACATCTCAGAGGCACTTCGATATTACGGATTATCTTTGTCTCATTTTGTCTCAAATGGAATATTTCTGGAATTAATAATGTCAATTCTATTCATTATCGTTTTGGCATTGAAATTCACTATCGTATTCACGCTTATGCCCTCAAGTATAATCAAAGAGATAAAACTCTATCACCGGAAATACTGGAGGTTTTAACTCGTGCAGAAAAAGTATTACTCTCTTTGATTCTGTGTCAAAATAATAAAACCATTGATGATACCGGAAAGGAAATTTCTGATTTGGCTACTGTGAAAAGTGAAGACCAACGATTACATCGAAAATCATAAATCTGTGTCGTGAAGCGATGCTTAGAATATTAACATGTTCTCCAGGTCATTACAAAGCTCTTTCTCGAATGGCTTATCTTTATTCTCTTTCTGAAGATTTTGCAAACGCTCGAAAGATACTCACCGAGCCATTTGAACTGCCTACTCATCCTCAAAGTTCTACTACTTCGAAATTGGGGATAATTCAACTGAAACAGTAAAATCTTCACCCATTCAAGATCTTTTCGACGACTAAATGTAACTATTATATATTCCATGGAATCCTGAAGACATTGAACTACTCAATCGAGAGACCAGGAAGTTTCTGTACTCACATCCGTCGATCGACAGATTTACTGATTGATGAATAAAACTTTAGGTGATGCTGAACAATTATTGAGAATCGCAATATTTTGAATTCATTAGAATTGAGAAGCAAAGGATATCTTCGTGAAACCGATCGTGAAAATCTTGGGAAAAAAGCATTGGAACTTTGTTTTAGTATTTACGAGAGTCGAATTGCAGAGGCGGAAGGAAATCATCAGGACTTAAAGTCAATTGAAGCCAATTTAAGGGAAATATGTAATAAATTGATGGAATATCCTTTCTACGAACATTCTGCTAAAAAATTCCTCGAAAAACATGACAATCGCGTTGAATGTATAACAATTGATTAATCACTAACTTTAATGACGAATATCTTTCCTTATAAAGTTTTTTAAATTCGCAAAAATCTTTACTGATTATGAACGAAACTAATGCAATTTTACATAGAAATTGGATGATTTGAATAAATTTGGATCAATTTTCTTTATTATTAATATATTACTTTATTATATCAACTATTTAATCCAGTTTTTCTTGTAGGGAAAATATCAATTGCCGATGTTGATACAAATAGTTAGATTAATATAATTAAATGGGAACTTGTTGCAGTTGTTTTTGGTGAGCTTTCTTTCCCATAAACAATTAATTAATTTTATTCCCTTCCAATTATCCGTTCGCATCTAAAGAGCAACACGTTTGTATCGTTGTGACCGTTGTTTTGTTTGATGATCAGTAAGCAAAACAATTAAAAATTTAGGGACAGTTTTTTAATATAATTGACTTGAAATCAACTTGATTGAAGAAATCGTCATCTCAAGATGAGCTAATCGGACTTGAAATAACTTTTTTGTTAATCTTGAAATCAGATGATCTCGAGATTAGTTGCTTTCATTTTCACTACGGGAAAAATACTTTTACTTTCACTCAATTTTTACGATTCTGAAATGAACTCAGGTCAGTTTGGTCAAGGTATCGATTAATAGAAAATTAAGTTCTCGGTTGGAATAAAATAAAAAATATCGATAAATTACATTCAAACTTCGCGCGTCAAAAATCAGATAAGAAAAAAAAATTATTTTAAATTTTGGTGATTATTGTTTTACTATTTTGTGCTTAAACTTTAAGTGTTATTTTTATGATTATTTCATCAAAAATTCAAATTTAAATGTCTTGAGGCTCTTTCATTTCAATTCTGCTTGATGGTTGTGAATCTCGACCGTTTTTTGCCTTTTTTGTTTCTTTTCGGCCTTTGTCTTTACCGGGGTCCTGATTTCAGCTTTGATCTCGGCTGGTGAATAAGAGCCTAAGTTAAGTTAATTGCGTGTTTACTTACCAAGACTGTTGATCAATTCCAATTGGATTAAGATTCAGAGGGATAATTAAGTCAAACCAGTGCGATCATAACCAACATCTTACCGATTATTTATTTGTAACATTTAAGTGAACATCAAAACTCAACCAGCCTCCAATGAGAAGACCTAACTTGTTTTAAAATTGTCAAAAATTTAGTCTTTTAAATGTGTAACGAGGTTAACTGTTTACAATTAATGTTGACTCATTACAAATGGATGCGATTAGCAGCATCTTTGGATAAGAAATCATTTGACAATCTTTTTGTCTTCTATTTATCATCTAGTTAACTGATTATCACTTTCTGGTGCCAATCAAATTTTCTCAATTGTTACTTTTAACGGTGAAAATTTTGAAGTGATTTTTGCAGTTCAATGTTGGTTCTCAATCTACTGTACTTCTATCATTTATTGTGACATTTTCTTAAAATATGGTTGACATACAGCCACTTAAATGTTGTCCATTTGATTCCTCGCATCGGCTTTACCTTTAATTCACCATGACAGAAGTAAGTATTGACTCGTCAGCTTCCTATTTCTATTATCAACTATTCACTCACCTCTTACATTTAAATGTCTTCATTCACAGGGAATAAGTAATCAAACAATCAACAAGTTGGACTGTGGTCACGACCAAAGTGAACATTTCTATATACACAAATGTTTGAAGACATTTTGTGACAAGTGCAAGCAAGAAAATCACTCGTGTGTCTTGTGTAAAACTAAACTGATTGAAGATGATTATCTCAAAGCCATTGACAGGAAAAGATGCGAAGATACTTCCGTTTGCAATAGCCAGGCCATTTTTCATTGTCTCTGCGGTAATAAAGATTTTTGTGAGCTGCATCTGATTAAATTTCACAATTTAATTGTACCATCTAAGAGATGCCGAGCTATCGATCTCGAAACTGAAGCTCAATCATGTTCAAAGTGTGAAATGTTCATTGCTAAATTTGTGGACCAGACAACCAATCAGTTATTTTGTGCTACATGTAAACAGGATAATCACTCATCTAATATTGTGGCCATTGAACTTGACAACAGCAACACCGACAATTACAACATCAACACCACATTGAACAATAATATTTGCACTCATCGTGTTGATATTAGAAATCATTTGGAGTTATTGAACACTAAACTTGAAGACTATACGAATGAGGTGGAAAAAGAAAAGAGCAAGTTCAATGAAACCATCGACGAATTGCAAAAAGCATTAGAGTCTTACTCGAATGCTAATAAGGTCAAAATAGACAATTTACGAAATTCAGTGGACAAAGTTAAACAATTTTTGAATCTATTGAATCGCGATGATAAATATGGAATAAGCAATCTCATTAAATCTGATCTGCTCAATAATAAACTTGCGGACTCGAAACTGAAGTTGTGGATTGAAGAGATCTTTCAGTCGTACAATATTCCTGAATTAACAAAATCGGGTGCTGATTGGAGCGAGGAAAGTGAAAGTGATCCTTGTGAACTGGTCCCATGCCCACGGAATCGTCCAATCATTGTCCATTCTTTCCAGATAATCTACTTAAATTGACTCACGACTTTATTAAAGATCATCTTCGCCATAAAAATGAATGTAAATCTTTATCCTGCTACTGTAAATCAAACAATCTCATCTACAATATTCAAACAAAATTTGTTAAATTTATGAATCAAAAGCAAGTTTCTAAAACTAATCTGGATTATTTTCTCGACTGTTCGTCCATTGATGGTGGTTATGTTACTTTATTGATAGAAACTGGTAAACGAGCTCTGAGTAAGTCTACGGATCTACCAAGTGCTCAAATTTGTTTTGAAGAAGCTCATCGAATCGATCCAACCAATTGGTTTGTTCTCGACACTTTAATGGGTATTTGTTTCGTGCTTAATGATCACAATAAATGCCTACAACTCGCAATCAAAGGATTAATGAAGGATGGCAATTACTTTAAAGCTCGTGTATTAATATCAGAGATGTTGGAACGTTTTCCATCCATAGGAATAGAATTACCTGTCGAGTTAGAGTATCTGCACTATTGGAATTCTTCAGTTGATATTAAAAGGAAGAAAAAACTTATGGGTGACCTCGAGAATTTGAAGAAGCTCAACAATATAGAAAAGGAATCGGAAAAAGCACAAGAAAATGTTTTAAAATCTCTATGTTTAGATCTCGATGCTGTCACACTTTCATCGTTACAATCTTTGATTTCTGCCATAATACATGTTAACAATGAGATGGCAAAACATAAAGTTAATTTAAGTAAATTAATAACATTGAAAGTCTCTGCCAATCCAGCACCTTACGTCGTCCCTGCCATTGGATATAAATTCTCCAAAGAAAAATCAAACAATTGTAATAAGCGAAAGACACGAGGATCAAGTCCTGATTCATCTGCGAAACGAAGATCAGTTCGAGATAAAAAGGCAGTAGATGCAACAGTCGACAATATGTACAAAAAGATTTTCTTCATGTTCCCCGAAAGTGTTTTAACTCGTGAAATAGTCCAAGAAGACGACGAGTTAGAGATGAAAACACATAACGAAGATCAAGTGGAGGATCTAATTCTTACTCGTTTCCTCTCGAAACAAAAGCCGTTTGTCTCAAAAGGAAAACAAATTTACAATATTGTTGGAGATCTTTTATGTGAAATTGGTGATCAAGCAACTTTAATCAAATTACCTTCTAATTTTATGGAACTGTACCGAATTCATCAAAAATGGTATCCATTACCATCGCCGTTAACGTGTTCTAAGCATCATACTATGACAGTGGAAAAGGCGAAATTCATTTTGACAGCAAATGAAGTTGATTTTAAAGAATCCGAAGCAATATTTTTAACTGAATCAATTCCATATTTACGAGATTCATTCAATCCCAATGAATATAATGCCTTCTTCATTCGTCTTTTGATTCTTCGAGGGATCAAAGAATCTAAAGTTGATTATCTTCTAATGGCAAATGAAATGTTTACAAAACTAACCTCAAATTAGTGCGAGCGGCAAATCAAACTGTCTATACCTCTTCTAGTCTTAGATCAATGATAAACAAGATGAATGAAAATAATTTGGACACATTATTGGATCAGCATCGACACGAAGAAATTGTTGAACTATTAGCATCTAAATCTGAGCTCTCTAAACAAGAAGAAGAGTATCTTTGTCAAGCTATTCAATCGTCAAAACAATGGAAACGAGGGATCGAAATAATTGCTCGAAGTAAACAATTGACCGACACATTGCTAAATCTATTACCAATGTGTTTGAAGAATGGAGATAAACTATCAATTGATCGAGAATTGGCCATCAAATTATTAAAGTTAGGAACCGAAGATTACAATGCAATAGCCTGGACTTGTATTCTACAAACATTCATAAACGAGATGCGAGTTGGTAAATCAGACGAAGGAAAAATCACCGGTTTGATCAACTCAGCTCATGAATATCTAGGAATAAAGGAGCATGTTGTCACCCAAATGGCGAGTTTTATCTCGCACTTGATTATCTGATTAATCAATGTAGCAGAAAGAAAGAGACTAATCCAACAGTGTTTTGGTTGCTTCTACAAACAATTAGAATGTAGCTTTCTGACCCCTGCTCATCATGGAGCGGGGTTAGTTTAAGTTTAAACGATGTTGTGATAATTTACAATTACTACATTCCCAAAAGCTTCCAGAGTTTGAAACTAACGAATCAACAAGTTCTCAAGCTGTAGAGTTGTTCAAACGTTTACTAGCAATTATTCCTGACAATTTAAATCCTGAAAATTTTCCAATTTGTTCAATGAATATTTGGATAATGTAAAACCAATTGAGGCTTCATCAAATATTCCCAGACATCATGTTACTCAAGATATTTACTATTACTTAGCTGATTATTATTTCAAAACAAAAGTTCAAGTAAGTTTATCGATTATCATTAAGTCCAATATGTATTATTAATATATCAATTTTCTTTCGATTTGATTTGCAGAGAAGCTAAAAATTTTACCAACTTGATTTAACCTTGAATCGTGATCGCTTCGACTCTTGGGCAGCCTATGCTCTTCTCATGGCAGATTCAATGATTCCATATTTTTCCAAGGTAAGTATTAGTACATATTCGCTATTAACATTCATCGATTTCTAATTACAAATTTATTTTTCAAATAGGATTGTCGAGTTTTCTACTCATATACTAATGAGGTGCTGTTTTTAGGAGCAACTGCATGTCGATGTTTCAATGAAGCAATTCGATTGAAAAATAACAAGTTCAAGGTATGGGCTGAATATGGAAAGTGTGCTTATGACATTGCGAGTTATATTTCTCGAGTAAAGAGATTTGGACCAGAGAACTTAAATCGAGAAGAAATGAAACAACATCGTAAACGATTTTACGAGCAGGCTCGAGTTTGCTTTGAATCGGCAAACAATATTGTTGATGCCGATAAAATTTGGCTTAACTATTATTACTTGGGAAAAATCGCTGAAAGAAGCAACATCTTACAAGCACTTCGATATTATGAATTATCTGACCTGCATTTGGCCTTAACTGGAGCAACTTATCCTTGTAGACTCGGTTATTATAATTCATATTATACCCGCTATGAAATCGAAGCTCTAGAAGTCCATTATCGAATTCATTCCAGTGTTCTTAAATACATCCGACGCAATAGCGATAAATTGTCACCGAAAACATTATCACAAATTATGGCGTTTTAACTCGTGCTGAAAGGAGCTTTTCGTTGAGCAAATGGAACTGCCAAGATGAATTCACAGACGAAGAAATCATGGAAGATGTCAATGAAGTGGTGACTGATTTGATCGGTTTGTCAGTGATGGAATTCTGGAGAGTGATGGACCACGATTATGCCAGAATAGTACAATGTGCCAAGAAGCAATGCATAGGTGCTTGAAACGTTTTCCTAATCATTACAAATCACTCTATCGAATGGCCCATCATTTTTTTTTTACTAAAGATTATCTCCTTTCCAGAAAGATTTTAACTAATATATTCCACTTTCCAACTGATTTTCAAACTTATTTTCGACCTGAAGAAAACCGTGAATCTGATTTGATTCTTGGTCTTTTCTATCGTAGCAACGCAAGCAATTTCTTCAATGGAATCTGGAAGATACCGAACAATTATATTGAAAGACCAGGAAGTTTTATTTCTCATATGCTGCGATCGACTCATTTATTGATTAATGTCCATCAGAATTTGGGTGATGCTGAACAATTAATGCGAATCGCAATACATTTGGGCTCATTGGGACAACCTGCCAAAGGTTATCTCCGTGATATAGATCAGGAAAATCTTGGGAAACGAGCGATGAAATATTGTTTCAGTATTTATGAGAATCGTATCGCAGACGCTAAAAGAAATCATGAAAGTTTGGAGCCAATTGAAGCTGATTTGAAGAAAATGTGTAATCAGCTGATAGAAATTCCTATTTATAAACGATCTGCCGAAAAATTTCTTGGAGAAAATGAAAATGGTCCTCTCTGTATTACAATTGATTAATCACATCGCTATGATGAGAATTCCATAAAATTTGTATAGAAACAACGCGATAAGGTTCATTACGATTGAAAATAGTTTCAATTTGTTATTTTCTTACGACTACGAAAAAAAAGAAAAATCTTACATCGATAAAATAATTGCTATTCGATATCATCCAAGCGAGTTTAATAATAAGAAAAGATCATATTCTTATCTTTGATTTCAAATTTGATTTGAGTGTAAATAGAAAATATCGCAATAATTGTTAATGCATTATTTTCTCGAAAAACGATTTAGTCGAAAGAAAAATATTAAAATACAATATGAAGTTAATTGATATTTGAATGTGCGAGTCATCAAATTCATCAGCGATTAGCTTGTTAGCAGCAAGAAAGATCGTTTAATAAAATTAGTTGGATAATTTAATCCACAATTAAACTGTAGTAGCAAAGAAAATTTCTTTTGAATTCACCCTAGAGATGGGCGATTGTTTAGATTTACTTTGATCGATGTTGACGCAATAATTTTGTAAAAAAAATCGATATTTATCGTTGTTTTTTTTTTGTTGTCTTAGAGAAAGAGAAAAAAAGAGACGAAGGGAAAAGAAAGAGAAAAGGGAAACGATTCAGGGGGAGAGCTGTGAAACGAGAGAATTCGCTCATAAAATGTAAAAGAAAAGGAGAGAGAAAAAGAGTTCCACCATCCTTACGATCAAATTTACCTGTTGAGCTGAAATATTTACACAAATGGAATCCTTGTAAAGGTCATGATAGAAAGACAAAAGTTTAGGACGAGCTCGTGAGTTTAAGCAAACTCTATAATCTACGAAGCGTATGTGGAGCAAATCAAGATGATGCTCGGAAATTTTTGAATTTATCTCTCAATCCAGAAACACTTTCGTCATTAAAATCCCTTATTTCAGTTTTAATAACTGTTGATAATGCAATGACAAAACACAGAGTTGATTTAAATGGAATAATAAGGCTAGAAATCTTCAACAATCCTAATGCTCAACCAATTATTCCTCCAAGTATTGATTGCACGCACATAGAAATGTCGAATCATAATACTAAGCGTAAAAAGAAAGGACGAAGCTATGGTTTATCTAATAAACTAAGATTATCTTCGGCTAAGCGTAAGAAAGTCAACTATCCATGTATTAATATGTATAAAAAAGTATTCTCGATGTTCCCTGAGAGTGTTTTAACTCGTAGGATACACCAAGAAAGTGACTCAGAGATTCAAACACAGAACAAAGCTCAGGTGGAGAATCTGATTTTGACACGTTACATGTTCCGACAAAAGCCATTCGTCTCAAAAGGCAGAGAGTTTAACCAACTAATAAGTGATCTTCTCTACAAAATAGCGGATCAAGCATCTTTAATAAAATTACCTTCCAATTTCATTGATCTGTATGGAATCCATCGAAAATCGTATCCGCTACTTTCAACTATTTCAACCAAGAACATAAAACCAGAAGAGACAAACTTAATCTTAACTGCCAATGAAGTGAACTTACATCAACCTGAAGCAATATTTTTGACTGAATCGATTCCATATCTGCGAGATTTATTGAATCCCAACGATTATGATAAATTTTTCATTCGTCTCATGATTCTTCGAGGAATCAAAGAATCTAAAGTTAATTATCTTCTAATGGCAAATGAAGTTTTCGAAAAATCTAACTTAAATTGGTTCAACAACAAATCAAACAGTTTACAGTTCATCTATTCTTAAATCAATGATAAACAAGATGAATGAAAATAATTTGGATACATTAACCAACATCGACACGAGGAAATTGTTGAACTATTAGCATCTAAATCTGCTCTAGACAAGAAGAAGTGTACCTTTGTCGCGCCATTCAGTCTTCAAACAATGGAAACGAGGGATCGAGATAATTACTAAAGTAAACAATTAACTGATCGATTGTTAAAACTGTTACGAGCTTGTTTAAAGAATGGAAATAAACTATCAATTGATCGAGAGTTGGCCATTAATTTGCTCAAATTAGGGACTGAAGATTACAATGCAGTTCATCTATTCTTAAATTGGGTTGTGGGTTGAAGAGATCATTAAATCGTATAATATTCCTGAATTAACAAAATCGGGTTTTAACTGGATCGAAGAGACTGATTTTTATGAGTTGGTTCCTGGTCCACGGAATTTGAAGTCTAATCATAGTCCATTCTTTCCAGATAATTTACTTAAATTGGCTCACGACTTTATCAAAGATCATCTTCGCCATAAAAATGACTGTAACTCTCAATCCTGCCCCTGTAAGTCGAGCAATCTTATCAACTCTATCCAACCAAAGTTTGTTCACCTCACAAACCAGAAACAACTTACAAAAAACGATTTGGATTATTTTCTCGACTGTTCTTCCATTGCTGGTGGTGCTGTTACTCTATTAATTGAAACTGGTAAACGAGCTCTTAATCAATCAGTAGATCTGACGTTTGCTCGGATATGTTTTGAAGAAGCTCATCGAATCGATTTAACGAATTGGTTTGTTCTCGACACATTAATGAGTCTTTATTTCGTGCTTAATGATCACAATGAATGTCTACAACTCGCAATCAAAGGATTAATGAAGGATGGCAATTACTTTAAAGCTCGTGTATTAATATCAGAAATATTGTTTCTTTCACCATCTTTAGAATCCAAATTGCCTGTTGAATTAGAATATTTACACAAATGGAATCCTTGTAAAGGTCATGATAGAAAGACAAATTTCAGCAAATTGACTTCCAGCAAAACCTTTTTGCGCAAATTGTTTTTGGGAAAAAACAGAATAGAAGATTTTTACCTTTAATTAAAACTGTTAAATCAACAATGAATTTATCATAATTTTGGGTCAGAAATTGCAATTAATCAAACAAATGTTAGTATTTTGATAATTAGAATCAAGTTAAATCCATCGGTTTCCGTTTTTAGATTTGTTGTCAAATTTTTCACAAAATTGAATCATAAATCCGTTTATGTCTTTTTTGTTAATATTTTTTTCATTTGATTAGGAATTGTTTGTTTGCTTAGAAACAATTTGCTCACTACAGAGTAAAAATGAATTCAGAGAAAGAGAACATAGAAAGATAGATAAAAAATTACATGGGAAAAGGGTAAACCAGAAACAAATTAAAACTAAAGATTGGTAAAAAGACGGAAAGTAGTTAACGAAATTGAGAATTAGCAGAGTTAGAACTCCATGATTTGTTGAAGAATTTCCTGATCTTCTATAAATGCACAGGTTTAGTTGTATTTAGTGTATTCAATTGATTTAATTTGAGTGTATTTAATTATACGCTATCGTTACTTAATAAATTTATTTAGATAAACTTTTTTATAAGCTACAATTTTTGAGTGTTTTTATCGTGAGAAAAACAAAGAAGAAACAAATTAAGAAACAGAAAAAATAAAAAGTAATTAAAGAAAAACAGTTATCGTAATGGTCAATTGATTTTTCAACAGAAAAAAGTTTCATCACACAGTAAATGATAATTAATGTTTCTAGACTTAACTTTCTTGAAGCTACTTTTAGAACCTCTGATCATTTCACTCTTGCTCATGAAAGAAGTGAAGTTTTTTCGCACTTCTTATTGACTAACATTTATTTTTAATATTTGATTTTTATAGCCAGGGAATATTTTTGGTGTAAGTAATAAGTAGTAATGAGTAGTCAACCAATCGCCAAGTTGGACTGTGATCACGATCAAAGTGAAGTTTTTTATGTTCACAAATGTTTAAAGACATTTTGTCATCATTGTCAACAAGAAAACCGACCATGTGTCTTATGTAAAACCGATCTCATCGAAGCTGATTACCTCAAAGCCATTGACAAGATAAGATGTGGAGATGATTCTGTTTGTAACAATCAAGCCATTTTCCATTGTTTGTGTAGTAAAAAAGATTTTTGTGAGATTCATTTACTAAAATTTCATCGAAAAATTTTAGCATCTAAAAGATGTTGTGCTGTTATTCTCAATTCGGGTACGGATGACCCTTCATGTTCCAAATGTGACAATTTTATTGCTCAATTTGTTGACAAGACAACTAATGAACTATTCTGTGAGACATGTAGTAAGAATAAGTCAGTAAATATTGTGCCCATTGACCGTGACAATAACAACAATAATACCACCGTTAACATCGACATTGACAAAAATTTTCATATTCATCGGGATATTATTGGTAATCAATTGAATTTATTGAGCACAAAACT